CTCTTTAACTTATTCTTCGTATATAACTCAGGTTTTGTGTCCTTTGATCAACAACTCCCCAACCTCTCTCCCTCCCCAACCCTCGGTAACCACCATTCTACTCTCTGCTTCCATAAGTTGAAATTTTCAGATTCTATACATGAGTGAGGTCATACGGCATTCCTCTCTGTGCCTGTCTTACTGTACTTAACATAATGTTCTCCAGGTTCATCCATGTTGTCATAAATGAGAGGATTTCCTTCTTTATTAAGGCTGAATAGTTTTTCATTGTGTATATATACCACATTTATTTTATCCATTCATTCATTGATGAACACAGGTTGATTCCATATCTTGGCTATTGTGAATAGTGCTGCAGTGATCATGAGAATGCAGATATCTCTTCTACATACTGATTTCATTTCCTTTGTATATGTACCCAGAAGGAATTGCTGGGTCATATGGCAGTTTTTATTTATTTATTTATTTATTTATTTATTTATTTATTTTGAGACGGAGTCTCGCTCTGTCGCCCAGGCTGGAGCGCAGTGGCGGGATCTCAGCTCACTACAAGCTCCGCCTCCCGGGTTTACGCCGTTCTCCTGCCTCAGCCTCCCGAGTAGCTGGGACTACAGGCGCCCGCCACCTTGCCCGGCTAGTTTTTTGTATTTTTTTTTAGTAGAGACGGGGTTTCACCGTGTTAGCCAGGATGGTCTCTATCTCCTGACCTCGTGATCCGCCCGTCTCGGCCTCCCAAAGTGCTAGGATTACAGGCTTGAGCCACCGCGCCCGGCCGACAGTTTTATTTTTAAGAGGAACGTCCATGCTGTTTTCCATAATGGCTGTGCTAATTTACATTCCCACAAACAGTGTGCTAGGGTTCTCTTTTCTCCACATCCTCACCAACACTTGTTATCGTTTGTTGTTTTTATAATAGCTATTCTAATAGTTGTGAGGTCATATGTTACTGTGGTTTTCATTTGCATTTCTCTAATGATTAGTGATGTTGAGCTTTTTTTCCCCTATATACCTGTTGACCATTTGTATGTCCTCTTTTGAGAAATGCCTATTCAGGTCCTTTGCCCATTTTTTAAATAGAGGGTTTTTTTTCTTTCTAATAAGTTTTTGAGTTCCTTATGTATTTTGAATATTAACCCCTTAGCTGATGTATGGTTTGAAAATATTTTCTCCCATTACATAGGTTGTCTTTTCATGCTGTTGATTGTTTCCTTTGCTGTGCAAAAGGTTTTTAGTTTGATGTAATCCCATTTGTTCATTTTCACTTTTGTTGCTTGTACTTTGGGGGTCATATCCAAAAAGTAATTGCCCAAACCAATGTCATGGAGCTAACTCCCTACGTTTTCTTCTAGCAGTCTTACATTTTCAGGTCTTATGTTTAATCTTCAATCCATTTTGAGTTGATTTTTGTATATGGTGTGAGATAAGGGTCTAATTTTTTTCTTCTGCAATGGATATCAAAATATCCTAAAAGTATTTGTTGATGAGACCGTCCTTTCCCCGTCCCATTCATTCCTCAACTCTTTATGAATATCTTTCTTTCCCCTACTGAAATTGTTCTTGTTAAGGGCAACCTAAGACTTCCATGGGACAAAATGCAAGAGATCTTTCTGTCTTCATTTTACAGTGTTCTTGTTGTGCATATGATGCAATTGGCCACCCCCTGCTTTAAAGTGCTCTTCCCTTGACTTCCATGAGGCTATATTCTAGTTTTCCATCTACCCAACTGGCTATGCATTTTCAATTTCCTTTCTAGCTCCTTTGCTTCTAGTAGACTTCAAAATGTTGGGGATCTTCTGATTACTTGAACCTCTTCTGTTTGTTTACCCTCTCCCTAGATGCTCTCAATTATTCCTGTGGCTTTAAATGCCATGTAATTGCTGATAATTCCCAAATATATATATCCAAACTAAACATTTCCTTTAAACTCCAGAATCTCTTATCCTTATAGTTGAATCTCAACTATCTATCTCAAACTTAACGTGTCTGTACATGAAATATTGATGTACTCTTCTTATACAAAAAAAAAGAATAAGGCAAAGAAGAATAAAAGAGGAAGAGAAAGAAAGAAGAAAAAGAGGAAAGAAGGAAGGGTCAAAAACAAAATCACAAGTTTAGTTTAAAGATCTAATTGGCTTTTATTTGTGATTCCAGAATCAGGCAATCCCTACAAAATAGAATCAGTATTCCGAGGAGCTGAGCAGAAGAGATTGACTTTATAGGCTGAAGAAACAGAAACTGAGAACAAAAAGTGGATTGGTCATTTCAAAGTTACTTTCTTTGTAAAGGTTAAAGCAGGAGTGACTTCTTTATCATGCTGGCTAAAACTGGCCTGTTTGGGAATTTGGCTATTATCCCTCTTTCCCCTGATTTCTCTGAAGTTCAGATAAACAGCTTAATTTCAGCTTGGTGGCTTGGAACTTCAGCATGAGGAACTCCATTTGGTTTGGTCTGCTGGGTTTAGTACAGGAGTTTAGTCCAAACCAATGGCCTCCTGTATATTTTATTTGCAGAAAGAATAAAGGAAGAAAGGAAGGGAGGGAGGAAATAGTATATGTTTTTGCTCTAGGAAAAAAATTTAGGCACTCATTAGTCAACTGTATTTAATCCATCAGCAAACTGTGTCTAGCCTAGCTCCAAATTATGTCTCAGACCCATTACCCTCTGTGTATGTCCACTGCCACTGCTTTAGAACACTATCTCTTATCTGGGCTACTACAATATTCTCCCAACTGACCTCCCTGTCTCTGCTCTGAAACCTGCCCAGCTCATTTTCAGAACAGCCAAAGGTATCTTTTGAAACCATGTATCAGTTTATGTCACTCTCCTGTTTGATGGTTCAACAACTCCCCATTGCACTTGGAACAAAATCCAAACACCTGATCCCCACTTAAGGCATGGTTCAGCCTTGCCTAAAGCCTTCACCTTGTGCACCACCAACCTATACTCATCCTCACCCTGGGGACTTTGTATCTGCCAGATCTTTCAACCTGGAATGCTCTCCTGTCTCTAATATCCTCCCCCATTTGAATGACAGTTTCCTTTTCATCCTTCGGGCTTCAGTTTAAATGTCCTCTCATAGAGCCTTGCCGGGCTACCTCTTTTAAAACAGCCCTGCCCAGTTATTTTCTCACAAGGCCTTGTTTGTTTCCTTTCTAGTATTTGCCACAATTCTCTTTACATATTTTTGTACATTTGCTTTCTTGACTCTCAGCGCCTGCCTATTCTTATCTCATTCTGGGTAAGAGGATTGACATACTGGCTGAGATAAGACACTGGTACTGTAGCCATGCCCCTCCTTTCTCTCTTCTCTTAAAAGTCAGCCTGTCTATGGAGTCTTCATTTGTTTATGCACCCTTATCATTAGTTTCCCAAGAACAGGCCTGTGCTGGCTCAGTGCTGCCTGTGGCTGGGTGAGAAAGTCCAGCTAGGTCTGAAGTATTAGGAAGCTCACCATGACTACAGCAGCTCCATCAGAAGAATACTCACATTTTGATCTAGATCTCAGTGGCTTTGGAGATGAGGTAGAGAAAAGAAGGGTGCTGTATATTGACCCCCATAAACAACAGTATCTTTCCTGACATGAATCAAGATCTAGGTCTATAGCTTTTCTTTTCTGTTTTCTTTTTAGATCTGTGGCTTTTCATTGTTTTTAAGCAATGGTATGCTTTCGTCAAAACATGTGTCTGTGAATCCCAATATGTGCAGAAAAAAAAAAAAAGAGTAAAACTAAATGCAGAGATATTCTGATTACAGTGAGTGACTATATTATTACTTTTTACATAATTTATCATTCTTTCTGCAAGTCACTGAAATCCCATTAAAACTGAAAAACAATAAGGAAATTTCATTGGTTCACATAACAGAGTATTTGGGGACTTATCTGGATCAGATAGAGGTTGATTTGGTCAAATGACCATGACTGGCATGCAGTTTCTTTCTTTCTTGGTCCTGCCAGGAATGCTGAGAAGCTCAAGATGGAAAAAAAAAAAAAATCGTAGTAGAAACCAATAGCGTTGGATCACTTAGATAATGTAATTGGACTATTTGTAACTAAAAGGATAAATGCTTGAAAGGATGCATACCCCATTCTCCACGATATGCTTGTTTCACATTGTATGCCTATATCAAAACATCTCAAGTATCCTATAAATATATACACCTACTATGTACCCACACAAATTTAAAACAAAAAAAAATTTAAGACACTTTTGCCTTTATGGTTGCAAGATGGCTACCAGAGGCTTCTGGTGCTATATCTCCACATTCATGTCCAGCGGCAAAGAAAACATCTCTGCCAATAACGGATATATGTAATGCTTGTATGCTTTCTTTCTCCACAGAAGCATAAGCATAATCTCTGCGACTGGACTATTTGCTTAATTGAACCAATCAATTCCTATAGCCAGGAGTATGGGATATACTGATTGGCCTAGGTTAACAATCAGGTCTTGTTCATGGAGCTGACATGGGCTCAGTCACAAAAGTCAGATAATTGGGGATGAGCTGGGGGGTACTCTTGCTGAGGGAAGCAAGAAACAGAGGTAACCAGTCAATGTCTGTATACGCGTGGAAAGAGAAAACTGAATCCCCACATGCCTGATATACCATGTGCAGCCCCTCCATACAGAATCAGCCTTTTGTAACTTAAAATCTCCTCTCTATCTTCAAGAGTATTTGTGATCTTTCTTTCTTTCTTTCTTTACTCCTTATGGTCTTTCTTTTTCTTTCTTCTTCATCCTTTCTCTCCTTATTTCTTTCTCTTTTTATTTCTTTTTTAAAATGAATTGGCCAGGATTATAAAACATCTGTGCACAAATGTTGCTGTTTTATTTACAGTGCCCCAAAGAAACTTTATTTTTATTTTATTTTATTTTATTTTATTTTATTTTATTTTACTTGATTTCTTGAGACAGGGTCTCACTCTGTTACCCAGGCTGGAGTGCAGTAACATTATCATGGCTTACTGTAGCCTCGACCTTCTAGACTCAAGTGATCATTCCTGCCTCAGCTTCCATCGTAGCTGGGACTATAGGCACACATCACCACACAAGGCTAACTAAAGAAGCTTTTGAAAGAGTTGAAAGTTTAAGAAAATATGTGCTAAAAATGGGAGTAGAAAAAATGTCATTCCACAGGACAATGTAGGAGATCAGCCTCAACATTTATCTACAGTGCCAAGGTGCTATAGCACCAAGTGAGTGAAGCCTACAGATCAGCAGTCTTCAGGCAGCGGAGGGAAGGTATGTAGAGTCTTCCTAAGGGGTAAGTGGGCATGGATTGTTTCAAAGGAATATGTTTTCTGATAAGCTTGTCCTGTGGTCAAGTCATCGGGCTATTCTCCTTTCCTATCTCCCCTGCCCAATCATCTTGCTTTTATCACTTGATAATATAGAAAGGCATACCTCACACTCATCCCAAGCCTACGAATGCATTTTCTCAGGTGCAAAAACCTCTAGAACACTCAAGAAAGGGGAAAAAATGATTGCAGTAATGGGATAATTAATCCTGTTGCAAGTTAGATGGATTCTAATTATCTGCTTTTCACCAAAGTGAAAGACATCTAATCAAGTCCACAGAGGAGAGATCACTAAAAACCATCTTGATGACAGATTACCATGTAATTTTTGGTATGTAACTGAAGAAGAATTCAAAGAACTGAGCCCCATTGCCATAATGAAACTCTCATTCCCATTTACTTATTTAGTTGAAAAGCTTCTCAGCACCTATAGCAACCAAATCATAGCACTGATGCTATTCCTGGTATATTTACCATGGGTATATGGGGGGAAAATACTACCCATCTCAGTAAGAACTGCAATTCCAATGCAGTCTTACATTTTATGTTTAGTAATTACCAATCAATATTTGTAATATATTTATGTTGTTTTAAGAAATCATGTAGAATTTTCTAACAGAATTGAATAGTCACAGGAAATTTTAAATTATTTCCATTTTTTTACATATTTTTGTTGTAGAGAAGTATGTACTTATGAAATTCTTTAAAGTAGAAAAAATAATAGGAAGTGGAATGGAAATATAATTCCAACGAGTAAATAAACAAAAGAAATGTCCTGCAGGTAAAGAACTTTATGATGTATATTTTAAAAGTATATAATGGATAGCCTGAGGGCTATACTTAATATTATACACTGAGAATTTGTTAAGAGTTGAATTTAGGTGCTCCTATCAGGCACACAACACACATACAAACAAACAGACACACGCGAAAGGTAACTATGGAAGGTGATGGATATGTTAATTTGTTTGACTGTAGTAATCATTTCACTGGATATATGTATGTGCAAACATCATGCTATATACCATAAATATATACAATAAAAAATAAATTGGAGAGCAGGATAAGGCACCAAATTGCTATACTATTTAGATCTCACTGTACAGATATCAACTAATAATGTGACCATTTATTTTTTAAATGTCTTTAGTTATATCAGAAATTATTATGTGTATGTATATACAACTCTTTTACCCATGATAAAAATTTTATACATCAATTTTAAAATATAGTGAAGAGCATATTACTTTTTGAGATATTTTAAGGACTTCTTAAGTTACTTTTTAAGATATTTTAGGACTGCAAGTGTGAAAATATCTGGAGACAATGAACAGAGAAAATTAAACATTAGACAAGAAAACAATCAAAGAAAGAACAGGCCCACTGTTGACATTGACTGTACAATGTAATATGATGACAAAGGAGCTGTCTACTCACATTTGCTTTTGTGTCCTTTATCAAAGAGAAAGATCAGAATGATTGAATGAACATTGGCAAAAGGGAAGAGAAGTTCAAGACGGAAAAAGAAATTGTAACAGAAATTGTACTCATCTCCCTTGGGAACCAGCAGAGGGAAGTGAGAATAGCAAGGATTTGAGTCAGACAGAATTGACTCAGAATTCTGACACTGCCAGTTAATATCTACGTGCCCCTGGACAAGATGCTTCACTCACCTCATCTGTATTATGGACATAATGTGATTTACTACGGAGGATAAAATTTCCTAATGTATCTAAAGTGCTTTGCATAAGGTCAAGCTCTGCAAAACATAAATAGTGGTTGTTGTAATTATCATGTAGCTGTAGACTTTGGAGCAATTTAACCTCCTTGAGCTTCACCTTCTTCCTCTATAATGCAGGAATAATAACATCTACCTCCTAGGATTACTGTGAGGATTAAATTGACAATAAATATTTATAACACAAAAAAGGCATTCAATAAATATTAGTTCTGGCCAAGCAAGGTGGCTCATGCCTGTAATCCCAGCACTTTGGGAGGCCAAGGTGGGAGGATCACAAAGTCAGGAGTTTGAGACCAGCCTGGCCAATATGGTGAAACCCTGTCTCTACTAAAAATACAAAAAAATTAGCCAGGCGTGGTGGTGCATGCCTGTAATTCCAGCTACTCAGGAGGCTGAGGCAGGCGACTTGCTTCAACCCAGGAGATGGAGGTTGCAGTGAGCCAAGATCGGGCCACTGCACTCCAGCCTGGGTGACAAAGCAAGACTCCGTCTCAAATAAAAAAATATTAGTTCTTTCCCCAACCCCTTCCTTCTCTATTTTCCTATTGATTTGGACAATTCTGTGGTATCCTTGATGGGATATGATGAAAAAGAGACTAATTCCAAATGCCTATTTATAGAATAGTATATTACTTTTATTATGTTTACTAGGAAAAAGACTAAACCCGAAATGATTATTTTTGATGAGACAAGTGGTGAGGGTCTCATACTAAAAGTGAATCTATCCTTGTAGATATGACCTTTCTGCTTTACTAGCAAATCTCATCAATGACAAAATTATTTTCATGAAATTGAGGAAGACAAATATGTTGCTGATCTATGACCATGTGATCATTCCTCTCACAAAGAGGACCTCCTCACACACAAAAAATAATTCTTCCTACATGTTTCCTTTTCTCCTACAAGTGAAAAGATAAAGCATTTATCAATTGGTGGGAATAAATGCTGTTGATTAATGTGATTCACTTACTTTAGAGGGTACCAAGCATCCCTCTTTTTGTAGCTTTGTATACAAAACAAAGCATAGTTTGAGATGAGCTTAGATGCCCAGGAGGAAGTTAGGGAACCAAGCTTCACTGACCAGGCAGGGAATATGTTTAAGGCTACCTCTGCCATTTTAATCTGTGGGTCAATGTTCATCAATTTCTTTTTAGAAACAAGCTGTCCAGTTGCTGCTCCCTGTTGAAGATGGGGGTATGATGAATAGCCAAAACGCATAAGAAGGCCTTCTATCAGCCAAGATCCCAGCAGGAAGCAAATGGCACACTCCAAAGGGGTAAAAGAATTATTGTTGAAGCTAGATACTGGGTACGTGGACATCCGTTATACTATTCTCTATTTATGTTTGAAATTGTCCATAATAAAATATATACAAACAAACAGAAGAGTATAAAAGAAAGACTAAAGAAAGAATGACTTACACAAATGTGGACAGAGGTTAAAGGAAAATAACAGGGGAAGGTGAAATCTACTTCCCTTCTCTGGTGACGCCCCCCATGCCCCACCTACCCTCAGGGTAGCACAGTATGGAGTGCTACCAGGAGTAGGCTTGAAGAACAAAGGAAAAAGGGGCAATCCCTGGAGCCCAGGGAGACCTGTAGTTGCAGGACAGGGCCACCCATCAGGAATTGTGGACTTCGGTGGAAGACAGTGTCACTATTAACCAAAGCCCACTACATAATTTGAGCAGCCCAGTGCAAGTTGAAAAAAAGCAAGAAAAAAGTGTGGTAAAGGTACTAAAGTATAAAGTTTTGCTTTCCTTCTGCAGTCTCTTTCTCGTTCCTCAACTTGTCATGTTTCTAAAATTTTGTATCTAACACTATTCTAAATAAAGAAAACATTGAAACTGCTGGCGGAAAAAATTTTTAAAAAAGAGAAAACATTACAATTTTAAATTATTAGCCTGAATTTTACCATTTATCTTGTGCAATGCCAATTTTAAATGCCATTATAAGGGCATTTAACTCTCATAAAGAATCATGAAAATTATACACTTATATTTCATAGTTTGTACATATATACATATTTTGTTCCTACTGAAACAGTGGAAATAGTGCACAAAACTAACTTGAGTGTTTCATTTCACTTTCTTATACTCATACAGTATTCCAATACTCTACTTTCAGCTTACGGATGAGGAAGGAAGGACTGAAAGGAAAAGGAACTATGGCTTGCCCTGTCTTCCCCTTTCCTTCTATGACATCATTTTTAGTGTAAGTGGTTAGGAAGTAACAGAAGTAACATGAGTAAGAAATGATATGATGAGGCTCCTTGGTTGTATGTGTTTCTCAAATTGCATTGCCTTTTGTCTGAATTTTAAGCAAGTTGTGGTTGAAATAGAAAGCATGACATCTCAGGGTTTTGTCAGTTGTACCTTGTACTTGCTTTGAGTCTCCCTGAATTCCTATATGTAGTGTATGGGTACATAGGAATTCTATGATCATGGGGACGCCGTAAATACTATATTCAAGCAGAGCAACTGGAAATTGCAGACACATATATTGCATGTAACCCCTCTGTTCACATATATGCTCCACTTTCCCTTTGATTTCACTTACAAAACACACATTCAAAGATAAAATGACATACCTCAGCATCACGCAATATACCCTTATAATGAACCTGTATGTGTACCCCCTAAATCTAAAATAACAGTTGAAATTTTTTTAAAAAAATAAAATTAAGAATTTTAAGACAGTGAAAGAAAAGCATTAAACCAAGTACAGGGCCCTTCTTAAGAATGGGGTCCTACTGACTCCACAGTTTGCATACACATGAGGCCCACCCTGCTGCCAATCCATTGTCAGAGAAATCAACACTCTTCTCCAGTCCTCCCATCCCCTGCAGATGATCTCACTGATGGACTCCAAGTGATAGCAAGGGAGCCAGGGAAGCATCCACAGAGAGTAACCACCTGGGCTACAGACCAGGGAGAGAAGGGTGGAGAGTAGGTCTGGAGGGGCAAACAGAATATGCAGCACAGACTGCTAGCCCCCAAATCTTTTTCCAACAAATTATATTCCTTTGTAATCCAGCTAGGATAATAAGGGGCAGGTGGACCTCAGGAGTGGGGCCTGGTGCATATGCAGTTACGAGCCACTTCAAAAAAATAAATACATAAATAAATTAAACCACAAATATAAATTAGGCATGAAACTGATTGTTAATTTAGAATGAGAAAAGAAATCAGTAAGTCTCTTTCTTCTGAGGACTCCAGGAAATTTAACAGAAATGCCTATACAGTTCTGTTTTCTAATTGCCTGCTGGCTTCCCTTCCTCACCTGGAATAACTTACAACTCCAAGCAACTGCCACCACTCAAAAAGGCCTGGGGAAGTGAGGAGTCCTGAAGCTGAAATGTTATTAGCTTTATGGTAAATTCCTCTGTGGACCCAAAAACTAAGAACATAAGAACATAGTGTTAAGTAACTGTGGAGAAGCAGGCATTCCCTGACAGGTTATGATGTGCCTCCTTTCTCTACTGTGCATACTAAAGGCAGTGAACCCACATCTCCAGCTCTTCTAACCTAGCGTTGTTTCACTGTAGTTAGGAAGTTCCACTGAATTTCACTACATAGGGAACTGGGAAGGTAATGGATAGTCATGGCCACTCCTTTGCATTCTTGATGTCTTGTCTATTCCCTACATTGTTTGCTGGGTTGGAATCAGGCAAAAGGCAAGCTACCTTAGAAGTCATTGTTCTCATTCACCCTCAAATCCTGGCCAGATTTTGTGCTCTGGCCTAATCAACAGGTTTCTATTTAGACATAAAATACGACTGAGCTTATCTCAGAATAGCTGGGGCACAGTGGAGGCAGTTTAGATTCGGAAAAAAGAAGGAACAGGTCAGTTAGACAGAAGGGCTGCCCTGGATGGAGTTCCATGATAGGTCTTAGGAGCCCCAGACACCAGAGCCACAGCCCATGAGAGGAGGGAAAATGGTGGACAGAGACAAAAGAAGGGGATGACAGATATGTACAGGGAAATGGAAAGATGTTAAATAAAGACTTCAAACTTTGCCCAAGGCCCTAGTGTTGGTGAACTCACTACTTGCTTTTGATAAATGTGGGAGAGCTGCTGGTATCTGAACTAAGAACATGTCTTAGTCTATTTGGGCTGCTATAACAATACCATAGACTGGGTGGCTAAAACTACAGGCATCTGTTTCTCACAGTTCTAGAGGCTGTGAAGTCCAAGATTAAGATACCAGCAGATCCGGCCAGGCACATGGCTCATGCCTGTAATCCCAGCACTTTGGGAGGCTGAGGCGGAAGGATCACTTGAGACCAGGAGTTTGAGACCAGCCTGAGCAACCTGGTGAAAACACATCTCTACAAAAAATACAAAAATTAGCTGGGCATGGTGGTATGTGCCTGTGGTCCCAGCTACTTGGGAGGCTGAGGTGGGAGGATCACCTGAACCCAGGGAGGTTGAGGCTGCAGTAAGCCGAGATCACACCACTGCACCCAGCTTGGGCAATGGAGTGAGACCCTGGTGTGTGGTGAGGGACCTCTTCTGGTTTGCAGACAGCTGTCTTCTTGCTGTGACCTCATATGGTGGAAGGGGTAAGTGAGTTTTCTAAGGTCTCTTTTATAAGGCCACTAATGCCATACGCTAGGGCTCCACCCTCATGACCTAATCACTTCTCAAAGGCCTCACCTCCTAATACCATCACCTTGGAGGTTGGGATTTCAACCTATGAATTCTGAAGGGACTCAGATAGAACCTTGCTTAGCACAAGAGCATTAACCTAAGATAGAAGAGGATAGTGCTTAAATGCATGGGTTCAAATCTTGCCCTTATTCCTTAAAAAACACTTTGATCAAGAAACTGATTCTCAGCCAGGCATGGTGACTCACGCCTGTAATCCCAGCACTTTGGGAGAGTGAGGCGGGTGCATCATCTGAGGTTAGGAGTTCAAGACCAGCCTGGCCAACCTGGCGAAACCCTGTCTCTACTAAAAATACAAAAATTAGCTGGGCATGGTGGCGGGCACCTGTAATCCCAGCTACTCGGGAGGCTGAGGCAGGAGAATCACTTGAACCCAGGAGGTGGAGGTTGCAGTGAGCTGAGATCGCACCATTGCACTCCATCCTGGGCAACAGAGTAAGACTCCATCTCAAAAAAACAAAACAAAACAAAAAAAAGAAACTAATTCACTCTGTGCCTCAGTTTCCTAATCTATAAGATGGGGGTATGTTATGTCACATCATACCATGTCATACCACATTATGTTATGTTACGTTATGTTATGTTATGTTATGTTATGTTATGTTATGTTATGTTATATGGAGTTCACCTCACAGTGTGTGAGATTAAATAAGTTAATACTTACAATTTCTAATAGTTCTCGGAAAACAATGAGTACTCAATAAAAATGAGAAATTATTATGAAAATGACTCCAAATACAGCATTTATACACATTTGGGCAATATACATTTTTTAATTAATTTGTTTTTGTTTTTGTTTTTGAGATGGAGTCTCACTCTTGTAGCCCAGGCTGGAGTGCAGTAGCATGATGTCAGATCACTGCAACCTCTGCCTCCGGGGTTCAGGTGATTCTCCTGCCTCAGCCTCCCAAGTAGCTGGGATTACAGGTGCCTGCCACCATGCCTGGCTAATTTTTATATTTTTAGTAGAGACAGAGATTTGTCACATTGACCAGGCTGGTCTCAAACTCCTGACCTCAGGTGATCCACCTGCCTCGGCCTCCCAAAGTGCTGGGATTACAGGCATGAGCCACCATGCATTTGCACAATATTTAAGGCTATAAAATTTTTGCAACAGATGGAAAATCTGATCCTTTTATTTTTACTATGTATAATTTTACAAAAATTATCAATTTTTTTTTTGAGACAGTATTGCTCTGTCGCCCAGGCTGGAATATGGTAATGCAATCACAGCTCACTGTAATCTTTGCCTCCTGGGTTCAAGCGATTCTCTTGCCTCACCTTCCCAAATATCTGGGATTACAGGAGCATGCCACCATGTCCAGCTAATTTTTGTATTTTTAGCAAAGATGGGATTTCACCATGTTGGCCAGGCTGATCTCGAACTCCTGACCTCAAGTGATCCTCCTGCCTCAGCCTCCTAAAGTTCTGGGATTATAGGCATGGGCCATAACGTGAGGCCAGCAAAAATTATCATAGGATAACTTTTTATGGATTTTTTATATTTGATATTTAGCCAAAGATAAGTATTCCGAAGTTTTCATAAACAAAACACAGTTGTTTCTGAACTTTCCTCACCAAAACAGGGGTACACTTTACCTTTTTATCTCTTACAGACAAATAGACAGACTCCACCATCTCCAGATATTGAGGAAAGGTTTAGTTTTCTTTTTAACCTTGCTCAAATTATATGCTGACATATAGAGATTAGAAAGAATCCCAGACCTCGCTGAGCGAATAGCTAAGTGGGATTCTTTCCTTATTAAAGACAACTTCACATTAGAATCAAGTTTGATTAAAATAGTTTGGAAAAGGTTAGGAGACTGTATTATCAGTCTTGTTTGATCCTAGATGTTTTACCTAGAGGGTAAGATGAAGTAAGATGGACTTTCTGGGTTCCTGTGCACCTCTGAGCAAGCACATCAGCTAACCTCCCTGACTTCCATGTCCTCATACACAGAAGAATCATGGGGAAAGGGTTGCCCAGCCCGACTCCCAACGTTCTTGTAAGGATTTAATATCAAATGTCATTTAAATACTGAAAAACAAAAACATTCTATAAATTCAAAAAAAATTTACTCAAATCACTTTCTTCTTACCAAAGTTCTTTTCTGCATGTCATTCAACAACAGGTAGACTGACTTATCTGTCAGAAGCAACAGCCCTCCCTGAATTAATCCCATTCACATCTTTGAATTACTGTTACTGGTATCTTTAAGAGAAAAATCATGCTCAATTAACCAGCTAGAGTTCTTTAACGTTGATTTAAAAAAACAACAAAACAGTATCTGGCCAATAGTAGGTAGTCAATAAATGTTTGTTGAATGAATTCGGAAGTGCTATAATTTAAAACATTTGACAAGATTCCACTCCCAGGGCTGTTAAAATCAAAACAATGGCCAAAACAACCTAGTTACTAGGGAGACATAATTTTCACAGGGAAGGAGTTAGGTAACAAGAACCAGTGCCTACTGGTGAATGCTCTTCTGGCAGAATCAACAATTGTGGTAACTGGCATGAATGCTTAATCTAGCACTTTTATATTTTTAAAAGGGTACAAGGCAAAAGTAAGCATTTAAAGATGGCATTAGACTCTTCATTGTAACATAATACATCGTAACATTGAGCAAAAAATGCATGCAATTTCATAAACTCTGCAAGTAAGCATAGTATTTGCAATGTGTACAAGTACAGAACAATGAGTCTTGGAGAGGAGACAAATAATTTGAACAAATAACTCAAGATCTAGAAAAGTGTTAAAGGAATCATTATAGATTCAAGAAATAGGTAAATGCTGGCTATAATTGAGAAAAGCTTGGGAAGAAAAAAGAGGGCTTTTTTTTTCTTTTTGTAAATTTAATTTAATTTTGTTTTAAGTTCTGGGCTACATGTGCAGGACGTACAGGTTTATTACACAGGTAAACGTGTGTCATGGTGGTTTGCTGCACCTGTCAACCCATCACCTAGGTATTAAGCCCCACATGCATTAGCTATTGATCCTGATGCTCTCTGTCCTGCCACCCCACTGACAGGCCCCAGTGTGTGTCGTTCCCCTCCCTGTGTCCATGTGTTCTCATTGTTCAGCTCCCACTTATAAGTGGGAACATGCAGTGTTTGGTTTTCTATTCCTGTGTTAGTTTGCTGAGGACAATGGCTTCCAGCTCCATCCATGCCCCTGTAAAGGACATGATCTCATTCCTTTTTGGCTGTATAATATTCCGTGGTGTATATGTACCACATTTTCTTTATACAGTCTATCATTGATGGGCATTAGGTTGATTCCATGTCTTTGCCATTGTGCATAGTGCTGCAGTGAACATAGGCACACATGTGTCTTTATAATAGAAAGATTTATATTCCTTTGGATATATACCCAGTAATGGGATTGCAGGATCAAATGGTATTTCTGGTTCTAGATCATTGTGGAAGACAGTGTAGCAATTCCTCAAAGATCAAGGATTTCTTTTTTTACATCATATTAGCAGAGGCCATCTTCCACCATCCATTTGTCTCTCTTCAACCTGTGTCTCAACATTTTTTAACTATTTGTCAGTAATTTTTTTCATTTTTAAACAGCTTTATTGAGAAGTAATTCACATACCATATAATTCACCCATTTAAAGAGGACAATTTGGCTGGGTGCAGTGGCTCACACCTGTAATCCCAGCACTCTGAGAGGCCAAGGCAGGCGGATCACCTGAGGTCAGGAGTTCAAGACCCACTTGGTCAACATGGGGAAACCTTGTCTTTAATAAAAATACAAAAATTAGCCAGGCATGGTGGCACATAACTGTAATTCCAGCCACTCACAAGGAGGGCTGAAGCAGGAGAACCACTTGAACCTGGGAGGTGGAGGTTACGTGAGCTGAGATTATGCCACTGCACTCCAGCCTGGGCAACAGAGAAAGACTCTGTCTAAATAAATAAATAAATAAAGTGGACAATTCAATGATTTTTATTATATTTACAAGGTGAATTATCATCACTGCTGAACTTGAGAACATTTTCATCACCTCTAAAAGGAGCCCCTACCAAATAGTCATTCCCCATTTTTCTCTTCACCCAGAGCAACCCAGAGCTCAATAAAGCTGTTTAATTTACTTTCTATCTCTACAAATTTGACTATTCTAGACATTTCACATAAATGGTGTAATATAACGTAGTCTTTTGGGCCATTATATTTCTTTCTCTTAGCATGTTTTCAAGGTTCATCCTTGTCGTAGCATGTATCAGTATTTCATTCCTTTTTACTGCCGAGCAATTTTCCATTGTATGAGTATCTCACACCTTATTCTTTCATCAGTTGATAGACATTTGGGTTGTCTGGAGTCTATTATAAATAATGCTGTTATGAACATTCATGTATATAAATTTTTATGTAAATATACAGACAGCCCCTGACTTAATGATGGCTTGACTTAATAATTTTATGACTTTACAATGGGTTTATTGGGGTATTATATGCATTTTTGACAGGATATTTTCAACTTTTGATGGGTTTATTGGGCTATAACCTCATCATAAGCTGAGGAGCATCTGTACCTAACTTTTTATTTCACTTTTTAAAAGCTGAGATTTAACCATTCATATACCATAAAATTCATCATTTTAAAGTGTACACT